TCTCTCTCTCTCTCTCTCTCTCTCTCTCTCTCTCTCTCTCTCTCTCGGTCCAACTTCTAGAGAGCCTTTCACTCTTCCCCCTTCCCCATAATAAAATTTTTGCCTTAGACCTACTGTGTGCTGTGATCGCCTAATGGCACAGCTTGGCTGGGTTCTGCCAAGATATCTTTCTCTGTTTCTCCTAGTGTTGAGGATTTGCTGAGCCATCTCACTGGCCCCTTGAACTTTTAAAATTGGAGTTAAAATTGGGTAAGGTACTGCACACCTGTAATCACCACTATCAGGAGGCTGGGACAGGAGGATTGGGAGTTCAGTGTCATCCTTCGATGAATATAAAATTCAAGGCCAGCCTGGGCTGTGTGACACACTATCTTAGAGAAATCAGGATCGAGGAGGGCTGAAGAAAGGAAGAAGAGAAAAAGGAACTGGGAGGTGGGTCTAGGAGTATTTGGGGCAATGAATATGGTCAAAATACATTATATGCATTTGAAAGTCTCAAAAATTATTTATTTTTTAAAAAAAGTATTTCAAGACAAGGTCTCATTATGTAGCCCTGGCTGTCCTAGCGCTCACTAATGTAAACCAGTCTGGCCTAGAACTCAGAGATCCACCTGTCTCTCCCTCTATAGAGCTGAGATTAAAGACATGCCTGGCCTCAAAAAAATAGTAAAATATTTTAAGAGAGAAAGAGGAGAAAGAAAGAAATGTGAGGAGGAAGAAAGGCAAGAAAATCTTTTGAATTAGTAAATTTGAACGACAGTAAGGCAGGATACTTCAGTGTTTCTCAGCCAGGCTTAGGGAGTGGGGGTGCGGGGGAGGGGGAGGGCAGGGGTTAGAACAGCACCCAGCAGGTGCTCAATAAATATGTTAAGTGACTGGATTCTAGAGCTTCTGATACACTACAGAGCGTTCTGGGGCCTCCTCTGTGATGTCACAAAGTCCCCACCATGCCTTTGGCCTTGACCGTGGTACTTCTGTGTGGCCTGGGCGGCCCCGGGGGATGGGGCTGTCTGCAGTGCGACCAGTCGGTACTAGATGCGCTCAAGCAGCTGCGTGAGGCCATCATCACCAAGCGCTTCCACCTGGAAGGGCTGCAGGCGCGCGCGCAGGCCCTGCTGTTGAGCATGGAGGGGCCTTTCTTCAGAGACTATTCAACGAACGCGTTCGTGGGGAAAGTGGGTGTGTGCTTGGGTGCGTGGGGGAGAGGCCCGGGTAGCTGTGGGCCTTCTGACGTGACACAGCCTCCTTTTTGGTCTGCAGTCGTGGATCAACTGGAAAAAGTGGTGACATCCTTCAAGAACCAAAGCCAGTATATAAAGGCTAACTCTAAGACAGGTGGGAGACCCTTCAGTCACCTCCTGGCCTTCCTTTCTGCACCCCAGTGCTTCTCCTCTGGGTAGCTAACAAAGGCATGTGTCCTTTGCTGTTACATTATCAGGCAGACTTTTGAGAAAAGGTTGAGAGGGAGAAAAGCTGAGGCTCAGAGAAGCCAGGTGACCTGTCCAAAGTCACACAGAGTTGAAGATGTATGCAGGACACTGCCATCTCTAAGATGCCCATCACAAGGTGTGCTTGGCCACACAGTTCTGTCTTCTTGTGTTTCTCAAACACTGCGATTTTTACAAATGGGGTGGTTTTGCCAGTGTCTTGCTGAAAGACCACATTTCCCAGCGTCCTTTGCAGACCACAGAAGTCATTTCAATGGTATAAGAGGTGGCTTCCCATCTTCCTCTGTAGGCATTCTGGCCATCTACCCCTTGGCGGTGAATAAACATGGTCCCATCTAAGGTCAGACAAAGTATCTCTTTTTGTCTCTCTACAGCTGCCTTTTTTTAAAAAAAATTAATCCAACATTTGTAATAACCTTCCACTAGTGAGTAAACCTGTGGCCTGTCATCCTAGTAACTCAAGAAGCTGAGGCAAGAGGACCATGACTTTGAATCCCTCCCTAATTAGAGTTAAAGCCAGCCTTGCAGCTCTTGAGAAGCAGATAAGCAGCTGTTTCTAGGTGCCAGGATTCATGGAACCCAGCCATTATTCAAGTACAAACAAGTCCGCACACATATTTTAAGTCTCAAACACTTGGGAGCCTTCTAGAATTCAGATTCTTTCTAGACACTCAACGGGTCATTTTTGCAAAGAACCAAAATGAAAACCTCTAAAACCTGGAGCACTTCTTAAAATTTTATGTGTATGGGCGGTATTTTTTTCCCCTTCTGCGTGTAGTATATGCCATTTGTGCATGCAGTACCTTTGGGGGTCAGAAGAGGGCATTAGATCCCCTGGAACTGGAGTTACAGGTGTTTGTGAGCCACTATGTAGCTGCTGGAAATTGAACCTTGGTTCTTTACAAGAGCAGACAGTGCTCTTCACCACTGAGCCATCTCTGCGGCCCAGTTTGACAGTTCTGGAAGTGGTTTGAGGCTTGATGAGGACCTGCACCGACGAGCATCTCTTCCCTCTCTTCCCTCCTCAGATGCTCCCCTGCTGGAAGAGCTGGTGAGCTTCAGGGAGCATGTCATCAAGGAACTAAAGAGAGCATTAAGAGACTATGAAACGAAAGGTGCCACCCCTTCTCCCTCACCCAGCCCCCTCCCTCCCAAAAGCATTTCTGTGACTCTCAGCATTCCCATCTTGCCAGCATTCCTTCCTCCCCTTCCCCTGATTTTCCCCTTCCCTTCCTTGCTCCCTTCCCAATTAAATTCTCAAACCACCATATCTGCCCATCACTCATATCATCTCTCTTCTCTTTCAGCCTGTAACCACAAAACTTGTCGTGAGTCCTGCTTTTCCTATCCAACTCCCCCTCCCACACCTATCCCCCATTCCTCCCAAATCAAACCTCAATGCCATACTTTACCACAAAACCATGAACCCCTCGTCATCGAGGGAGGGTGATTTGCTGTGTGTGCATACATGTACATATGTGTGTGTACTTGGATGCATGTGTGTGCTCACATGCTTTTGTGCATGAATGTCTGTGTGAACACATGTGTGCATGCATGGGGGCATGTGTGTGCACATGCATGTGTGTGTGTGTATGTATGGGCATGCAAGCATGCATGTGTGTTTGTGTGCATGCACAAGTGTGTGTATATGTGTTTGTGCATGAATGTGTGTATGTGCCTGCACACATATACATTTGTATGCATGTGTATATGTGCACATATGAGTTTGTGTGCATGCACAAGTGTGTGTATATGTGTGCATGTGTGTGCATGCATGTGTGTATGTGCACATATTTGTGTGAACACATGTACGTGTGCATGCCTTTGGAAGCCAGAGGAGCAACCCCAGTAGCCATCAGTTATTTTAAGTTGTATGAGTGTTTGCATGTATGTATGTATGTATGCATGTAAGTATGTATGTATGTATGTATGTATGTATGTATGTATGTACACACACCAGACGTGTGCAGTGTCCCTGGAACTGGAGTTGCAGAAGGCTGTGAACTACAATGTGGGGCTGTGATTTGAGAATTAGTAAGTTTTTTGATCTGTTGAGCCATCTCTTCAGCCCCACCCGGGTTTCTGAGATGGGGTGTCTTGGTGTCAGAAGCTCACTGATCGGGCTGACTGCCCAGTGAACGCCTGGGATCCCTCTGCCTCTGTCTCAGAGCTCCAACTACACATAATGCCACCTCCAACTTTCTGTTCTAAACATTGAATTTGAATTTTCATGTTTCTAAGGCAGCCATTCTTATCCAATGAGCTATCTCTGCCTCACTCCCCTCCCCCATGGCATCTGTTTTGACACAAGATCTCTCTCTGTAACCCATGCTGATCTGTAACTCATGGCAGTCCTCCTGCCTCACCCTCAACAGTGTTGGTATTTCATAAGTCACCAAGACAACCTCAAGACTTGCGGTGGGTCTATTTTGCTTGTTTGAGATGGGTTTCTCTGTGTAGCTATGGCTGTCCTGAACTCACTTGGTAGACCAGGCTGGCCTAGAATTCACAAAGATCCTCCTGCTTCTGTCTCCAGAGTGCTGGGATTAAAGGTGTGCACTACCACCACCCAGCTTGCTGTTTTGTTTGTTTGCTTATTAGGATGTGTGTGTGTGTGTGTGTGTGTGTGCTCGCACATGCTCACAGCACACATATGGAGGTCAGAGGATAACTTAGTACTCTCCTCCTTCCCTATGGGTCCCTGGGATTGACCTCAGGTCACTAGTCTTGTTGGCAAACGCCTTTACCAGCTGTGCCATCTCGCTGGCTCTTCAAGATTTGCTTTTTGAGGGCTAATGAAAATGATTACAGCCTTTGAGCTGGGACCTCAGGAAATCTGTAACTGTGAGTACCATCCGGTATGTGGCATTTATAGTAGCCTCTAAGACTAGGGAACCACACAGAAAGTTTGACAGCCTGTGATACCCAACACAGCTCTCACTTTCCTTTGATTCAGAAGAGGGCACAAGTGTGTAACTCAAGGCAAACGGATCCTGGGAAATGTCTTCCCTTCTGCACAGGAAGAGGAGTCAGATGAGCCTGCACCACGCCCATCTTTGCCAGAGGAGGCTCCAAGACCAAAAGTAGCACATCTAAAAATTAATAAATGTTGAGGCCAATGAGGTGGCTCAGAGGGTAAAGGTGCTTGCTTTAAAAAAAAAATTGACAATCTGAGTTCGGTCCCACATGATTGGAGGACAGACTCCTCTAGGTTGTTCTCTGGTCTCCATCCATGTACATCCGTGTGAATGAACACAGGAAATACATAACATGTCAAATGACAGCAACTAAAGAATGTTTGGTTAAGTTCTGCAAGTGGGAAGAGGCATGGCTGGCTCAGATCTACTACAGAAGCTCCTGATGGCGGCTGAAGCAAGACAATCACAAGTTTAAAGACAAACTTGAGTAACTGAGCAAAATCCTGTCTCAGGATTAAAAAAAAAAAAGTGGACTTGCAATGTAGACCAATAGTAAAGCGTCCACCTAGAGTCCCCAGTGAGAGGCCGTGGGTGTGACTCAGGGTGTGACTCAGCAGTAGAGCCCCTGCCTAATACTCAAGACTCTGAGTTTAATCCTTAGCACACACACTCCTAAATATTCTGTGATCAGAACATTCAGGCAACTGGCCTGTGGACATTCCACTGAATCTTTCAAAAACCATTTCTCACATAAACGGTCTGCATTTGCTCCACCTGCTGTGCAGGGGCAGCAGCTTCAGCAACACTCATGGCCCTGGGGATCCCACTTTCTTTCCCCCTTATCTCCCCGCCCCCCCCCCGTTCTTGCCAGTTCTTGGGGTCTGCTTTTCTCCATATCTCCCTTTTGCCTCGCCCAGACTCGTTCAAAGAGAAGATCCTGGACTGTTTATATTGCAAGAAAACCATTCCCAAGTGCATCAAGGAAAAGTACTGCTTCGGTAAGCTGTGAGTTTGGAAATGCCAGGGGTAGCATACAAAAGAAAGCTGTGTTCCTGTAGAGTGGTTTCAAGGCTCCCCACAGTCCTTGTTTCAAGGTTCCCCATAAGCACTTGGGAGGCTGAGGCAGGAAGATCTGAAGTTTAAGGCTAGCCTGAACTACATAGCTTCTGTCTATAACCTTATCACTAGGGGGTGGGGTAGTGGGGGAGATAAGTAGATTCCTGAAACTCACTGGCCAGCCTGGATGAATTTGCAAGAACTAGGTTCAATGAGACACCCCACATCAAAATCATGGTGGAGAGGGATTAAAGAAGATGCCTAACCTCTGGTACAAATAGAAACACAATCACACACACGCACATGCACACGCACACACACGTACACACACACACATGCACACACACGCATACGCACACACGTATTTAAAAGATCCTCTCTCAGAAAACAAGGTTTGTGTTTAGATATTCTCATATGTGGAAAGCACAGAGAGACTAACTCAGTCACTCAAACATTCTATACACACCCAATATCCTTACAGATGGTGCAGCTCCCCCCCCCCCCGGGCCATCACTCTGCTATCCCTACCCTATCACGGCTCCCCTCCCTCTCTTCAGGTCTCAGGGCCTCTTGGTGACACTTCCTGAAAGATCAGTTTGCATTGAACTGCAATGTTCCTCTGCCTGTGTTTCACTCATTTTAGTCTTTGCTGTAGATTTTATTCTCTTTAACAATTTATTTTTACTGGAGTTACAGACAGTGGTGAGCTACCATGTGGGTGCTAGGAATTGAACTCAAGTCCTCTGAAAGAGCAGTCAGTGCTCCTCTCCACTCACTGGGCTATCTCTCTATCCCCTCTACCTTTATCTTTATTTTTTATTTTTTTTGCCATAGTGTTTGTCTCAGTCAGTGTTCCACGGCTGTAAGGAGTTACCATGACTATGGCAACTCTTGGGGGAAAGCACTTAACTGGGGCTGGCTTAGTGTTTCAGAGGTTCAGTCCATCATCATTTACGCCATTTTCATTCAAACCACCGCATCACACTCCTTGGCTACAATAGCCTTGTAGCCATATCACAGTGCAATCATTTACTCCAACTTCAGATGGCCCCTTAGTCTATCACAGCCTCCACTCTGTTTTAAAGTTCAAAGTCTCCCTGAGTCTCACACAACCTCTTAACTGTAACTCTCTGTAAAATCAAAACAGAAAACAGACCACATATTTCAACATACAATAGCACAGGATTAATATCCCAAAAGGGAGGAAAGGGAACATAGTGAGGATATGCTGGATCAAAGCTAGACTGAAAACCAGCTGAGCAAACTCCAACTCTGCCTCTTTGTGGCTGATGTCGAAGCACTCTTCAGATCTCCAACTCCTTTCAGCTTTGTTGACTGGCACACACTTCTTTCTCTTGGGCTGGTTCTGCTCCCTGTTAGCAGCTCTCCTCAGCCGGTGAGCCATGGTTCCAACATATCCAACATCTTGAGGTCTCCAAGGCACTCTAGGCTTCACAGCTTCACTCACTGGTGTCTCTGGGTCTCCATGCAGGGACATCTCTGACACGTGCCTCGCCTCAGCGGCTTTCCTTAGTCGTGAAGGGAGATTATAAAACCCCTTTCTTCTATCCTTGACTCTAAAACTAGAACCATGTGACCAAGGTGAGGCATAGTCCATTGTCGTCATGGCAGCACACAGGCAGACACGATGCTGGAGAAGTAGTGGAATGTTCCACATCCAGATCTGCAAGCAGCAGGAAGGGAGGGAGACTCTGAGCTTAGAATGGGCTTTTTGAATCCTCAAAGCCCACCTCCAGTGACACCTCTAACAAGGTCACACCCCTTTCAAACAGTGCCACTCCACCATGGTAACCAAGTATTTTATGAGCCTGTGGGGACCATTCTCATTCAGACCACCACAGTCTTTAAGAATCACGGGTATCTTCCTTCTGCCATACAGAATGTGTGGCTCTAAGGATATTGTCTCTTATAACCACAACAGTCTCTTGATAACAGAGACGTTCCCTGTGCATGTGTGTGGCATGTGTGAACATGTGGCTGTGGAGAGGAACATGCACAGGCCAGGGGAAGATGCCAGTATCCCCTCTGTCTCCCTCCAACGTGCTCCCTCACAAGAGGCTCTCTTGATGGATCTGGAGCCTGACTGGTATCCAAGAAGTCTCAGCAATTCTTCTGTCTCAGCCTCCCACAGCCCTGGAGCTTAGAGGTGTGTGTGTATAACTATATCCAACTTTTTATGCAGGTTCTGAGATTCAAACTCAGGTCCTCATGCTTGTGTAGCCAGCATTACCTGACTACTGGGCCATGTCCTTAGTGACACCAGACAATTTTACACCTGTCTACCAATGTCCCTAATTGTCACCTGAATCTTCTCCACAGCTGACGATTTATTCTAATTAGGACCCAACACAAGGACTCACCTCATTTTTGTTTTTCCACTTGTTTAGTTTAGTTTAGTTTAGTTTTTTTGATTAGTTGAGACAAGACAAGATTTCCCTATGTAGACCAGGCTTGCCTGAAATTCACATAGATCTGCCTAACGGTGTGTGCCACCCTACTCAACTTATTTTTATTTTTAATCAAAAAGTTTATTCTTTCAGTGTGTCCAGAGGGTGGGTAGGACACAGTTACAGTTTGGAGGTCAAGACAAGAGTCTTGGTTGTAGAAAGAGTTGCAGGGCTGAGGAGAGAGGAGAAGATGCCAGGAAGCCCTTGGGGTGGGGGGTGGCTATGGTCTTCAGCTACAGCGCATGCTGCCAGGATTATCTGTGTTTGGTGTCCCGGGGTTGATGCCTTTCCATTTCCTTCTCTCCCTTTTCCATTGCTCTTCCCCTCATTTCCCTTTTCCCCTTCCTCCTTTTTGAGAGATAGGTTCTCACTCTGTAGCCCAGACTGCCTTCAGCTCAGAGTAGTCCTCCTGCCTCAGTGTCCCAAGTGTTCAGATGATAGTTGTGAGCCACCACACCCAACTCTTTCTTGGGTTTGGGTCCAACTTCTTGCCTCCTTTTCCTAGCCAACAAGAAGTGTGGTTCACTTAGCCCTTGGTTTGGGCGGTTGCTGGTTCAGGCTGGGCTGCAGTGTCTGCCCTAGGTGAACAGTTAATCCATTGTGCTGGGTGGGGAGCCCTGAGCAGGTGAGGTGGAGGAGGTTGTAAGGGCAATAGTTTGAAGCTGAGTTCCACTTCTCTCTATCCAGAGGATGGGCAGTTCCGTATGACTCTGAAGTTCCAGGCTGACAACAAACTGAGGAGCATGGTGTGGGTGGGAGACTTGGTGACGGTGGGATTGGCTATCCTAACCTTCTTGGTCATCCTGATTGCGTGAGTAATTCCGAAACTCCTTTGTCTCCAAGTCACTTAGATGTGGATAACAGCCAGGTGTGGTGGTCCACTACTATGGTTCCAGCACTTGGGAGGCTTGAAGCAGGAGGATGGGTATAAGTTCAAGGCTCGTCTGAGCTACACAGAAAGATGCTATCTCAGAAAGCGGGGGATGGGGCTTAGGTGGCGGAGTATTTGCCTAGTATGCTCAAAGCCATGGGTTCAACCCCCAGGTTTAGATGATTCAGGTGTGGTGTCACACATTTGCCATCACAGCATTTAAGACATGGAGGAAGAGGGTCTCAAGTTCAAGGTCATTGTTGGCTAAATAATAAGTTTGAGGCTAGCCTGAGCTACATGAGACCCCATCTCAAAAAAAGAAAGACAGAAATGGGGCTGGAAGAGTGAGAAAGGAAGAAAAAAATGGATGCATTAGGGGGTCTTTGATGTCCCCATCACCATGCCCTTCAGTTCCGGTCCCACTTTGCTGTTCTTTGTCTCTCCTACATCTCTTTTGAGACTGTTGTTGTTGTTGTTGTTGTTGTTTTGAGTCAGAGTTTCACTGTGTAGCCCTGGCTATACTTTAACTCACTCTGTAGACCAGGCTGGCTTCAAACAGATCCTACTGGCTCTGCCTCTGGAGTGCTGGGATCAAAGGCATGTGTCACCACTGCCAGCAAGACATTATTTTTAATTATGTATGTGTGTGTATGTCTTGGTGTGGAGTGTGTATATATGAGTGCAGGGCCCATGGAGGCCAGAAGATGCAGGAGGATTCCTGTGAGGTGAAGTTGAAGTAATTGTGAGCTGCCGTGAGGGCCCTGGGAACCTAGCTCGCTTCTCTGTAAGACCAGTAAGTGCTCTGAACCCTTGAGCCACCGCTCCAGCATGGCCACCTCTCTTTCCCTTACCTTCTCTCTTTCCTTCTCTCCTCTCCCTCTGCCTCGAATTTTCTCTCTCCCTAAATCACAAAGCTACAAAAGTCCCCAGCTTTCCCCTATCCATGTGGTCCCTTCCTCCATTAAAAACAGTAGAAGTAGAAGAAGGAGGAGGAGGAGGAAGAAGAGGAGAAGGAGGAGGAGGAAGGAAGGAAGGAGGCAGAGGAGGAGGAAGAGGAAGAGGAGGAGGAGAAAGAGGAAGAAGAAGAAGAAGAAGAAGAAGAAGAGGTGGAGGAGGAAGAGGAGGAGGAGGAAGAGGAAGAGGAAGAGGAAGAGGAAGAAGATGAAGAAGAAGAAGAAGAAGAAGAAGAAGAAGAAGAAGAAGAAGAAGAAGGAAGAAGAAGAAACAAGAAGAAGAAGCACATGCCTTTAATCCCAGCACTCAAGAGGCAAAGGCAGTTCAAGACTAGCCTGGTCTACATAGTTCCAGGACAGTCAAGGCTATACCACCATATATATGCAGATCCTGTCTGAAACTAAAAGAATGGATGTGCAGATCATATCAAGGTTTGCCTAGCCAGATTGTTTATATATTCTTCACCAACATTGTCACTGATATATGCATTTGTTAAACATTTTTGAGACAGAACACTGTAAACTTGGCTAGTCTGGCTCAATATATAGTAGACCTCGCTAGTCTCCAAATCACAGAGATTCACCTGCCTCTGCCTCTCCAGGGCCGAGAAGAAGAGCAAATGGCACCATGCCCAGCTGTTAATTTTTTGAGACAGGATCGCATGTATCTCAGGCTAATCTGAAACTCCTTATCTTCTGCCTCAGGCTTCTTATGTGGGGATGACAAGCACTAGCCTGGCATTAATGATGAAACCTAACAGCTCATGGTACATAGCCAGAGCACACAGGTGGGACACCTCTACCTATGAGATTGCTTAAAGCCACAGAAATTTACTCTTGGGAGGAATGGGGGCATGGCTCAGAGTGGGAGCCCTTGCCTAGAGTCCCCCAGTGAGAGGCTGGGGGTGTGACTCAGCGGTAGAGCATCTGGCTCTACCAGCATATGGCTGAGAGGTAGAGCATGTGTGAAGCCTATTTTCAGTTCTTGTCTCTTGACGTTATTATCTAGGGCTGTCCAGATGGCTCAGTGGGTAGGTCATCTGCCTGACAACCTGAGTTGGCTCCCCAGGACACACATGGCGGAAGGAGAAAATTGGCTCCCATACCTCTGCTGACATTCACACGTATGCTACCACACACACACACACACACACACACACACACATATAAATAAATGCAGAATATGTAAAGTTCTGAATTTGTAGGCCAGACATCCTATATTACCAGTTAACAAAGGATGCCCTGAGGGTGGACTGCTTATTCCACATGAGTCTCCCGCTGTCCTTAGCAGCTGGGAGCCCTGGACATTCCTTAGTTTGTATCTTCCAGCTGAGCTTTACCTCTGACTTCATGTAACTGGAGTCCTTGGCCAGCAGACTCCAAATGACTGGGTCAGCCACTTTCCCCAAAGGCAAACAAACAGAAATCCTTGGTGGGTAGGAAGGAAGACATTCTCATCACGGGAGCCATGTTGGGAAGATGAAATTCAAGTATTGCAGTTGCAGCTTGGTGACTAGAGACTCGAATTTAAACAAGGGAGGACCTGGCATATGAGTAGGGGCCGTGAACAGGTCCAGTCAACATGTGGTTGACTGAGCCATTAATCTCAGACCTGCTCCTGCAGGTTGGTGTGAAGTCAAGTGCTGGAGGGAACAAGCCTGTCCCACGAGGCCAGTGCTGCTTGGTGTGAGCTCATCCCAGGCTCATCGATTTCTGTTTTTATTTTTAATTTTCATGTGAATGGGTTTTGTTTTGTTTGCCTACATATAAATTTGTGCACCATGCGCCTGCCAGAAAAGGGCATTGGATCCCCTGGGACTGGAGTTACAAATAGGTCTGAGCCACCATATAGGTAAAGGGAATCAAATCTCTGTCCCCTGAAAGAGAAGCTAATGCTCTTAATCTTTTAGCTATCTCTCCAGCCCACCCAACCCCGCCATGCTTCTGTTATCCAAGGAGACCAAGGGCTTAGGACAATGACCAAACACCTTTAGGCTGGTCTGGAACAGGATGCTGTAAACAGCTGGCAATAAGTTATCTCAGTTGTTCTTAGCTTTGTGTCTTCAGTTTGTAAGTAGGAAAGAGGCTAAGTCTGCCCAGATGCTAGGTAGGTAATCCCCGTGCACAGGTAAGCAGGTAAGCAAGGAAGACAGATGAGAACTGAAGGCAGAGATGTCAGGCTTTCCTCTTTTTGCTTTTTTCTCTTTGATTTTAGGGGGCAGGGTCTCATGCAGCCCAGGCTAGTTTCAAACCCAAATCTCATGGTGTAGCTGAGAATGACCTGAAACTCATGTTCCTGACTCCAGCTTTCTAGTGCAGGTTTGCAGGTGTGCACTGCCATGTCAATGTCATTTAGAGGTGGAGAGGTCACATCCATAGCCTCATTTCGCTGTTCGGGCCCCAGCCAGGGACACTTAGGCCCTGTTCATTAGGTAGGTGCTTTGTTTTCTCTCTGAGACACACCGAGGCCTAGCCTTTCTCATATAATGACCCCAGTGTTTGAATACAGCCTGGATCTAAATCCACAGTGATGTCAGCTTGTCTTAATTATACCGACAAAGACTGTTTCCATAAGGGCCTCTTGGAAAGAAGCTGGGGAGTGGGAAAGTGGGGGACTTTGCTTTGGGAGGGGGTGTTATTGAGTCATGGTACTCGGTCTCCTGACTAGAAACAATATCTCTGGCTGAGGCTCTGATGTGTGGAGTCAGTTCTAGCCTCTGTCTTCCTCCATCCCACCCATCTACCTAACCTATCATCTATCTACCCACCTACCCATGCAGTCATCCGTCTACCAGCTATCTAGTTAGTGATTCTTTATCAATATATCCATGTATCATCTAGCTAGCTGTCATCTGTCTATCTACCTACCTACCTACCTACCTACCTCGTGTGTGTGTGTATGTGTGTGTGTGTGTGTGTGTGTGTGTAAGTGTAGCACATGCATGCCAAGACAGGCCTGTGGAGTCAGAGGATGACTTTCTAGAGTCTGTCCTCGACATCAGCTATGTGTGTCCTGAGGATCCGATCCAGATTAGCAGACTTGTTGGCAGCTTTCGTTACCTTATGAGCCATCTCACGAGCCATCTCACAACCCAAGTGTTTGAACTTTTTGAGATATGGTCTCACTCTGTAACCAAGGATAGTCTGGAACTCAGAACACTCCTCCTGTCTCAACCTCCCAACTGCCATAACAACAGGCATGCCCACTTCACCCACTTTAACCTTTTTCTTTTTCCTTCTGCTTCTGACCAGGGCTTGTACATATAGGCAAAACCGGAAACTCCTGCTGAAGTAGGCCAGTGACTTTGGTGTTTGTAAAAGGAAAATAAATTTAATAAAATCTGTGTGAATTCTTTAGTGTCTGTACCTTCCCTGTGGACACTTGACCCTTTGATTTTAATAAGTGCTCTCTCTGTGTGTAATTCTGGACATTAAACATACTCCCTAGTATGCTAGGCAGGCAAGCATTCCACCTCTGAGCCCCATCCTGGTTCTTTTTACCGTTTTCGGGGTGGGGAGGGCTCTCTTTGTTTTTGTTTGTAAGACAGGATGTGACAGTTAGCATTGTCAACTTGACAGAATCTAGAGCCTCGTGTAGGATGGGCATTCACACGACAGGTGTGGCGTGCATACATCGAGGTGTGCCTGCCGGTGGGGGTTGCACCATCCCCTGGATGAGATCCTGGACTGTATAAGTGCAGAAAAGAGCTCAGCAGCAACAAGCATAGAATAAAACCATTTAAGAGAAATAAAAAGAAACAAAAGGAAGGGCAGACAGAAGGAAATAAGAAGGAAGATGGGAAAGAGATAAGCATGGAGGGAGAGAAGAGAAAGCAAGCAAAAGAAATTGAGGGAGGGAGACAGTTCACATAGTTCAGGGCTTCTTGGCACCAGAAACTACATTTCCCAAAGGCCTCTGCTCTAAGTATCTCCTGCCTGAAAGTTGTATAAACATTGCTCCCCATTTATTCTCTGACTTGTCAATAAAAGCTGATCAGCCAATGGCTGAGCAAAAGAGAGAATAGGGATAGATTTCTGATCCCAACCAGGGAAGGGGAGAGACAGGGACAAAGATCAGAAGAGTGAGTCAGACCCCGTGGTGTTGAAGGTTTAGAACTGTGAACTTCCCAGTGTAGGTATTGGGATTTGAACTCAAGCCCTCTTCATGAGCAGTAAATGCCCTTAACTTCTGCATTGGCTCTCTAATCCCTGGTTTTGTAGAGTCCTGCACTTTAGGCTAGGCTGGTCTGGAACTCACTTTGTAATACAGACTAGCCTGGAGCTCACTATGAAGCCCAGGCTGGCTTCAAACTCACTGTGTAGTTGAGACTGGCCTCCAACTCACAGTAATCCCCCTGCCTGAGCCTCCTGAGTGCTGAGATTACAGGCATGCATAACCTGCCTAGCCAGGCTGTAAAACCCCTTAGATTCTCCCGAAGTCAGCCTTTGCCCATTCCCGTCCAGCCCAGTGGGAGTCAGCAGCTGCCTCCCTGGGTTCCCACAGGAATCCCCCTGGGACGCCAGTTCCACAGCTGTGATAATTGCCATGTTGTAATTCTTTAATAACCATCTGTCTCCCCTTCCCAGACTCCGTTCCCTAGAAGTCCTCATCCCATTATAATTTCAGCACAATTTAATTATCCATTGTTCATGTCCCTGGGAAATTCCCATGATGTGAGGGTAATGGCTAGACCTTAGTGGGAAGATTGTAGAAAGGAAGAAGAAAGAAAAGAAAAGGAAAGAGGAAGACCTCAAACACCCTTACATTTATCCCAATAAAGCATATTGTCGATAGAATGTTCGCCTCCCAGGCACAAAGCCCTGGTTTCCATCCCCAACCTGGAATAAACTGAGAGACCTGGTGTCCGACTAGAATTCCAGTATGTGGGAGTTGGCTAAGAAAGGTCAGTTCAAGGTCAGGGTAGGGAGATGGCTCAGTCCATAAAGTTCTTGCCTTTCAAGCTTGAGGATCTGAGTTCCATTCCCAGAACCCACACAAACGCTGGGTGGAAGAGTGCACACACAGCATGCAGGAAACTGTGGGTCCAATGCCTACTCCTGTGTAAATGGGTGTGGTGGTGCAAGCATGTAATTCTTGCACTTGGAAGGTGGAGGAAAGGAGGGCCAGAATTTCAAAGTAATCTTAAATTACAGCGAGCTGTGACTAGCCTGAAATACACCAGACCCTGTACACCAGGTCAGTTTTAGAGCCAACAGAAGTGAGTTTGGGTTCCCTTGGCCTAGGTGACCCTCTCGCCCCCAATGAATGCTGTCTTCCATGTATGATGTGACATTCTTTTATCTTCCACTCCTTAGGGAAGGGTCATAGTGAGGGGAAACTTTTATTGCCGGGCACTGTGGGGAGTTGGGGAGTCAGGGGCAGTGGGCTCTGAGATGAGACCTTAGGACAAAGTCTAGCAGACCTCACTCAGTAAGTGGAGCAGAATGTTTGTGTTCATCCCTGAGCCTCATCCCTGGGTCAGGATCTTGGGATGGCATCAGAGTTTGGGCCCTGGAGAATGCTGGACTTTCTCAAATATCTTGCACACAGTGGCTTGTGCGTGTGCGCGTGCGCATGCGCGTGTGTTACAGCTGCCGTCTGCATGCTTCACAAGCTCAGCTCAAGGATGGGATTAGCACTTTACCCATTCACGTATTGATTGTGATCATTTCCAGACAGTAAATGAGTACCAAGAAGAAGTGGAGCCAGGCATAGTAGTACATGTCTTTAATTTCAGTGCTCAAGGACAGAGGCAGGTAGATCACTTTGAATTTATCCAGCCAAGGCTATATTGTGAGACCCTGTTTCCAAAAAGAAGAGAAGAAAAAGAAAAGGAAATAGAAAAAAAAAAAAAAAAACACTCTCTATAGGCCTACCAGCAGAGGGCAGGAGAGCAGCGTGGAAAACCTCTTGCACTATGCTGCTGGCTTATCTTGTCCACCTTTGCACACTTGGTGACCTTCAAGGATGTCTTGGATGGACTTCACCATGGAAGAGTTGGGGCTGCAACAGAGCCTGGCCAGAAGGAGGTATACCATGTATCAAAGTTCTAGAATCTTCCGGCACTGGGTGAACCCTACCCAGCCTTCAAGGGAAGGCTGATCCCCTTTTTTTTCTAGTGTTTGAGACAGTGTCTTCCTCTGTAGCTCTGGGTGGCCTCCGACTGGATTTGCTGTCTCAGTGTCCCATTGCCAGGATCACAGGCATGTACCTCCACACCCTCTCCTGGACTTCTAGCTGTGCAACACCCCGCCTTCCATGGGTGTTCATAGCTCAGGGCTTTCTGTACAGGCTTGCAGGCTCCCCGCCTGGCCTGTCTTCCTCTCCCGTTTAAAAATAAAAACTGGTCCTTTACTGTATATATTTTTTCAATTACATTTATCTGTGTTTGCGCATGTGTACATGTGTGTTTCCATGTTGTAGGTGTGCATATGCCGTGTTTTGTGTGGCAGTTTTGTGTGACAACCTCTAGAGTCCATTCTCTCCTATCGTGGGTCCCAGGGAGTTAGACATGGTGACAAGTGTCTTCACCCAGTGAGCCATTTCACTGTCCCTCTTCTTCTCATTTTCAATGGCTGGTCCTTGAGGCATACGTCCTCTCTCTCTCTGAAAAGAACTCCCCCTGGGCCCATCCTCACCTCAAGCCCTCTTCCACCCACTGACCTCTGTGCCTAGTGTCTCCGGCTCCAGCAGCTCCCTGGAAATCTAGGTGACTATTTGATAGTTAAGTCACTGAACAAGGTTAGAACAGTTCATGGCGTGTGACGATGTTTAATACATGGTCTGTCCTAAGTCAGCAGTAATGATCACTATTGCTTCCATAATGAATTTGCCTGGACTCCTTCATATACAGAATCAAGATAGCTTAAGCAAAGGTTTTTAAATCTTATTTTTGTTTTTATTTTTTGCTTTTCAATACAGGGTCCTGGCGCTCCTGGAACTCACTTTGTAGACTAGGCTGGCCTCTAACTCACAGAGATCCACCTGCCTCTGCCTTCTGAGCTGGGATTAAAGGTCTACATCACCACTGCCTGGTGCAAAGTTTTATTTTTTTAAAATGATTTTTATTTTTTAGTGTGTGTGTGTGTGTGTGTGTGTGTGCGCGCGCGCGTGTGCAAGTATGGGTATGTACCCATGGTGCAGATACCCAAGAAAGCCAAAATAGGGCACTGGATGCCCTGGAGCTGGAGTGACAGATGGTTGTGAGTCACCTCTCATCACTAAGGTCCTCTGCAAGGACAGTAAGTATATGCTCCTAACTGCTGAGCCATCCCTCCAGCCCTGAAAACTTAAGATTTTTTTTTTAAAAACCTTACATTACTGGGAAGTGCTTCGGTCATGGGGCACAGATGAATGTAAGGTTTAAATGGCGTTGCCTGGCTTTTCTGGTTTTCTTCTCACCCTGTACATGTTCTTTCTCTCCATCTCTAGCTTCCTTCTCCAGGCCTCCCCAAGTGGCAGTTCACATGGTTACTGTTGGGAGCCGACTCCTAGCCGAAAGCGGCTATCATCTTTACAGCCATCTCGAGCCATATACCCTGACAAGAGACTTGTTTCAACAGCCTGCAATAGCTGAGCGCACTCTGATAAACATCTCGTCACACTGTTTAGTGCCCCCAGCTGCAAGGTGCACGTGGTATCCATGGCTACAAGGCATGTGACGTAGTGGCTTCAGTTGAGCTTGTCCACGAGGGCAAGTCACGTGGTAAAGGGTATAAATACCCAGGATTTCCTTTCTATGTGTGGGAGGCATGAGGAGACTGAAGGAGTGAGGAGAATATAGCATAAGTGTGAGGAGAATATAGAAGAAGAGAGGAGAATAAAGAAGAGACTTGAAGAGTCTCCACCGGACTCTGTCTTGTATCTATCTTTTGCATCTCTCGCCCCTTTTTCGCCCTTCCTCTGTCCCCTCTCTCTCTCTTGCTAGACCCTGACCTGCAGACCCGAGCAGCAGAACCGGCCGGCCTTTACAAAGTAGCAGAACCGGCCGTTACAAAAGAAATGGCCTTTACAGGTTACTGCCTGCTCAAAGATGTTCTACCTAGTAACCACATACCTAAGTCCCAAGGAAGACCCTAGTTGGCTCCCTTTGCCAAAGCACCCAAGGTCTAGAGCAGACAGGAAATATCACGAACCAGTAACTAAGTAAGTGGAGATTGGGCAGGGTCCAAGATTGAGGAAAATGGACCTCATGTGTTAGCTTGTTGGGACAGCTGAAGTCAAGCTTCCCTGCCAACAGGGGAAGCTTTGACATTGTCTCATCCAAAAGGGGGACAGTAGCTTCCAGAGTTTTTGTCAGTGATGTTAGGGATCTTTTTGTATGCATTGAAATTTTTTGGTCAAGTAACTTATGCTC